CCCTGCACCGAAGGCTCATGGGTATTTTCAAAAGGAGTAGACTGCAGGAATGGAAGCAACGGGGAGTTTGCTGTGAGGTTGCTTCCCCTAGAAATGCGAGAAGCTACACCCATGAAGTCACACCAGCATAACTATCTAACCATGACCCAAACAAGGATGACACCAATAGATACGCTAACATGGATGGGGGCAGTGTAACGAAAAATAAAAGGCCCAGAGACGGATTTTGGGGTTCAAGCTTCAAGCTGCAGATCAGGAAAGCAAAGCAGCCGGCCGCTAGCTCTTATGTCTACCTCAGACTGAAAGGCAATCCTGGCTCCACCAAACCTCAGACTGCTGCCTCTCCTTAGTGTGGCTGGAGAAACCTGATTCTGACTACTGAAGGCACTGCTTCTGTTTTTTATACTTCTCTAGTGCTGGGATTAAAGCTGCGACCTCTGTTTCTATTTTAGACTGATTCAACACTCATGTAGCCCTGGGTGACCTTGAACTCGGAGCTATCCATTTGCCTTTGTCTCCTGAGTCCTGGGACTAAAGGTGTGTACTACCACTGCCTGATCTCTGTAGCTTGAGGCTTGGCTTTCAGAATCCTCAGGCAAGCTTTAATAAATCATAGATAATATATCACTGCAGGGAAGGGAAATCATGAGGCCTCCACCCTAGACAAAGAACAGGGAACTAAGGAATGCTGAGAGGGAAAGAAATAATTTTCCCTAGAGAAGAACACACCAAATGACTATCTAATACCAATTGGTCATCCCTGAAAACATGCAAATAAATAACATTTATAAATATTGAGCAGGTTATATTTATGTGTGTGTTTCACAATTAAGGAAAAAAAAGTTGGCTAGGAGGTGGTGGTTGCGCACGCCTTTAAACCCAGAACTCTGTGAGTTCGAGGCCAGCCTGGTCTACAAAGAGAGTTCCAGGACAGCCTCCAAAGAAACCCTGTCTCGAAAGCCGGGCGTTGGTGGCGCACGCCTTTAATCCCAGCACTTGGGAGGCAGAGGCAGGCGGATCTCTGTGAGTTCGAGGCCAGCCTGGTCTACAAGAGCTAGTTCCAGGACAGCCTCCAAAGCCACAGAGAAACCCTGTCTCGAAAAACCAAAAAAAAAAAAAAAAAGGGGGGGGGGTGCCTGGAGAGATGGCTCAGAGATTAAGAGCACTGATTGCTCTTCCACAGGTCCTGAGTTCAATTACATGGTGGCTCATAAACATCTACAATTCAATCTGGGGCCCTCTTCCGGCTTGTAGGCAGAACACTGTATATGTGATTGATAAATAAATCTTTTTTTTTTTTTTTGAGACAGGGTTTCTCTGTGGCTTTTGGAGACTGTCCTGGAAATCGCTCTTGTAGACCAGGCTGGCCTCGAATTTACAGAGATCCGCCTGCCTCTGCCTCCGGAGTGCTGGGATTAAAGGTGTGCGCCACCACCGCCCGGCTTCAAATAAATAAATCTTAAAAAAGAAAAAGAAATGAAGGAAGGGAAATAAAAGGAAAAGAAGCCAAGAATTTGACATTTGAAAGAGAGCAAGGGGTAGTTCACGAGAGGGTTTGGAGGGAGGAAAAGAAAGGGACAATGGTGAACTTATGTCCCAGTATTGGGGAAGGAGAGGCAGGCGGACCTCTGAAACTGAGGTCAACCTGGTCTACACAGTGACTTCCAGGACAACCAGGGCTATGTAGAAAGACCCTGTCTCAAAAACAAACCACCAACAATAAGCACAGGCAGTCGTGCCAGCGAGACGGCTCAGTGGGTAGAGACGCTTGCTGCTCATGGATGCGATGGCCCCACAGAGCTGCTCTCCGTGTTAAACTTCTAAACTCACGGAGGTTGAGTCTGACTGGTTGTGCTTGCCTCGAGAGGGACCTCTTCTGTCGCTCTCTTCTCCACACTTTGTATACTTTCAGATTTTCATTCACTCAGCGTACGTTGATGTAGGAACTTCCGGACCATGCTCCCTGGTGGTCTAGTGGTTAGGACTCGACTCACCGCCGTGGCCTGGGTTGGAATCATGTGAGCAGTCTCTCCTTGATAGGCAGTGGTGGCACAGATCTTTTTCTTTTTTCTTTTTTAGTTTATTTATTATGTATACAGTGTTCTCTCTGCATGTATGCCTGCAAGCCAGGAGAAGCATCAGATCTCATTACAGATGGTTATGAGCCACCATGCGGGTGCTGGGAACTGAACTCAGGACCTCTGGAAGAGCAGCCAGTGCTGTTAACCTCTGAGCCATCTCTCCAGACCTGGTGGCACAGACCTTTAACTCCAGCACTCAGGAGTCAGAGGCAGGCGGATCTCTGTGAGATCAAGCTCAGCCTGGTCCACAGAGAGAAGGTTGTTACACAAAGAAACCCCGTCTGGGAAAAGAAAAAACAAATAAAACAAAGAACTTGTGGACATCTATTTTATACTTTAAAGCAAACACTCTGTTACTCAAGCTGCCCACGCTTTCACCACGGAGATCTTACATTTCTCTTCACATAAGTGAAAAAATGATGACAAATGAACGGAGACCACATGTCACTGTGTGTGTGCATGCCCTGTGCCAGAGCCTTTAGCCTTGATATTTATTTTGGGTGCTGTTCAATCCTAGCTTATTGAATCTCTCCGAACGCCAGTGTCTTCTACTTTTTAAACTATTGTGTTTGTATGTCTGGAGGGCTGGTATGTCCTGGGGAGTGCAGGTGCCCACAGAGACAGAAGAAGGCGTCAGATCCCCTGGAGTTTCAGCCCTGATGAGAACCACCCTGTGTGAGTACTTGAAATGAGCCCTGGTCAAGAGGTCAGTTACAGGCTCTTAAACCACTGAGCCAATCCCTGAGTTTCCCAGTCTGCATACTGAGGATAAAGCCTCATTCGCAGGCTTTGGGTGAGGATCACAGACAGCATTAGCAAGAGCTTCGAGAAGGAGCACAGCGGTTACATTCATAGACACGGGAATGAGTAGTGGTCGCCAAGGTGGGGTAGGGGAACCTGACGTTGTTCAGCAGGGACAGCCTCCATGCTGGGTGACAGAAGGTTGTGGAGATGAGGTCGTGTGGAGAGGCCAGATGAGTGCCCTTTGTGTCACCTAAGTGTAGATTGGAAAGTGATTAAAACAGTAAATTTGCATTCCGTTTTGCCACAGTAAAAGGTAATTTTTTCGCTGTTGAAAATGTATAAGACAGTTTTTAAAAGCCTTTCAAAGTCCTTAGTAACCCAGGCCAACAAAATAACTCAGGGAATAAGGATGCTTGCCATCGAACCCGACGACCTGAGTTTGAGCCCAGAATCCACACTGGGGGGGGGGGTACGGGGCAAGAGAGAGCACACCTTGCCCATGTAAACAAACAAACAAATGTAAAAACAAATTAGTCCTTAGTAGACCCTCAGGAACCACTTCCAGTCTTTTAAAACCTTGTATCTAGGGGAGAGAGAGGTTGGTCAGTGGTTAGAGAGGTTGCTCAGTGGTTAGAGAGAGAGGTTGCTCAGTGGTTAGGAGCACTTGTTGCTCTTGCAGAGGACCTGGGTTTGATTCCCAGCACCTGCATGACAGCTCACAACTGTCTGTAATTCTAGTTCCATGGTTGAGAGGTTCAGGCATTACGCTGGCCTGCCCTGCTACCTGGCAGAATGCATTCAGGCAGCACTCTGGTCAGCCCAGGGTTCCATGAGAACCAGTCAGCACGCAGGTGCAAAGGACCCCTTTAAAGGACTGACCCCTGCCTGCTTACAAACAAACAAACAAAAAACAACACATGGGACCAACCCAAAGGGCACCACCACACATGCTAGTGGAACACACACACACACACACACAATAACAGAAATAAATATAAATAAGATTTTAAAAACTTTGTATCTATTTCCCCCATAGTGTCCACAACTCAGTAGAGGCCACGGATGAGGACAGAAAATAAAAGACCTATTTGAATTGTTTATTTATTTTGTTTTTTCGAGACAGGGTTTCTTTGTGTAGCCCTGGCTGTCCTGGAACTCACTCTGTAGACCAGGCTGGTCTCGAACTCAAGAGACCCGCCTGCCTCTGTGATTAAGATGTATTTTCATTCTCTCTTCAAAAGATGCCTTTAGTGCTGAATTGAAGTCTAACTTCTGGGCTAACAGATACATGCTATCAAACTTAGAAAGCGCATCCAGATATTTCGTTATTACAAAAACAAAAACAAAAAACAAACAACAACAACAACAACAAAAAACCTGACACCTTTCTGCTCTGTGCCGTCACTGCCTACCCTTCAGTGTCCTCCCCTGGGCTCGGGGTTTCCAATTCCGTGTATAAGGTTGTCATTCTCCCTCTTCTCTGTTTGCCCTTCCTTGGGGTTAAATATTCCCCCAGATCTTACAGAAACCATACGGAAACATTTTAGTCCCTGGACATCTTCAGTTTTTAAAAAACAACCCCTTGTGAGTCCCAGTCCTCACCAGACACTGGGAGCAGGTTACCGGGAAAAGGGGTGCTCGGGGTCTTCGCTGGCGACTCCCCCAGGGAGCCCCTACCACCCCCATCCTAAGGCCCCTGGCGGATGAAGCGGCCGCGCCAGTGTCCTCCCCTGGCTTCCTCGAAACCAGACATGGCAACCTCACTCGTGGAGCTAGCTGTCCCGGGCCCTTGGAGTCGGGAGTTGAGGAAAGGGAGACCCTGGGGAAACTGGGGGTGCGGTGGGGCGGGCTCGCTGGGATCATCCCGCACGCCGCGAGCTGCTCCGCAGCGGGGACAGCCTCCCGGGGGCGCAGCCGCCACCGCCACCCTGGAGGGCCCTGAGCTTCCCGCTCCGCCCGTGACCCCTCCGGGTTTCCTTTTGTCCCTTCTCCACTCTGGACGCGCACCCCTCCCCGTCGTCTCCACTCCACCCTCCGCTTCCTCCAGGCCCTGTGCCCGTCCCTGGCCCTCCCGCTCCTCCCACCCCCGGGGGTAGGGGGTGGAGCGCAGGTCCCCGAGTCCCCGCCCCTCTCCGCCCCGCCCCTCCCCGCCCCTGCTTTTAAACCTGGCGCGCAGCGTGTAGGTGATCGCGCAGGGCGAGCAGGGCCTGGAGCCGTCGGGTTGCGGGGCTCGCGTGCCGCCCGCACCATGAGATTCCAGGCGGCTGCCGGAGCCCGGGAGGCGCGGGGACTCCTCTGCCACTGTCCCGGGGATGATCCCGGAAGGCCAGCGCTGCCTCGAGGGCCCGAAAGGTGAGGGTGTCCCTACGGCCCCCGGTGGAGGTGCACCCACCCAGACACGGAGCGAGACGCACCACCGCAGAAGTCCCGCCTGAAGTGCAGGGACCCCCGCGGACACCTGGCGAGGAAAGGGGCCAACGCGTGTGCGTTTGGAGCATCAGAAGCTCGTCCAGCAGGGAGACGCTGCTGGGACCTGGGGTCGGGTGGGAGGCTCTGCGCAACTTGGGTCCTGCGCGCTCTATCACCAGGCAACTGTCTCTCTCTCTTCCCTACACCGGGACTCCGGGCTTGCCCCTCCCTGGGACCCAGCTATCTTTTAAAAGCTGTGAAGTTCGAGGGAATCAAATTAGCCGGGGAGGAGGGGAGGGCGCAGCTTGGTGATGGAGAGGCACATCGCCCCTCGGCGGCGCGGAGCGCTGTAGCATCAAGACCAACAGGCAGTAAGGGAAAGTTTTGAGGTGTCACCGGGAGCTTAGCTGGGAGAAAAATAACCTCGGCTGATGCCCGCCCCAGGGATGAACGGTGTTAGATCAGGCCCTGGAAGCAGAGGGCAGGGACTTCTGCAGGAGACGGGGACACGTAAGGTGCTGGCTGGCCCGCCCGCCTGCAGACGCGGTGCAGACGGCTATACTCTGGTAGGAGCTTTTTTAAGGGGCAGCAGAAATGCCCGGGGTTCAGTCTCCTGGCGCTTGTTTCCAGTTCCTCTCCAGCTCTGTGGAGACCGTGGATGCCGCGTCCGGGAGATTCCGAGCTGACCACAAACGGAAGCCCGGTAAGTTAAATGGTGGGTGTGGTAAGTGCCAGAAAGTGGCACGGCGTCTATAGTAATCAAAAAACAAAAAAACAAAACAAGGAAGACCGGAAAGGTCTCCTCCTCCATCTCGCCTCGCTCGGTCTTCTAACCCACAAGTGCCCGGAGGTCTAACAGGTAGAGCCTGAGGGAGCAGAGGTGCTAATGGGCCCATTGGGCTCCTCCTGATTGCTTCTCCATCCTTGAAAAGAAACCACCGAGAACATAGCTGTTGCGTGGTAATTACTCGTGTGTGTGTGTGTGTGTGTATGGGGGGTGTTGCCTCTTCTCTAAACCAGCCGGTGGAGAAGGGAGGGGCAAAACCCAGCCCCCTTCGAGAAAAGCTGTCTGTCCCTTGAGCAGGGCTGCTGGTGCCACTGCACAAAGAAAGACAGACCTGACCTGAGATCCACCTCCGAGTGCCCGGGAGGGGCAGTTAAGAGCCCCCTCCCAGCGTCTGGCCCCTTAAAAAAAAGCACTTTCGGCCCTGTCTGCAAGAGCTCCGGGAGGAACTGTCGTCTGTGCAAATACACTCAAGCCGAGAGCTTTGTAGGCAAAGATCGATTGCCACTACTATCCGTTTATCTTTGCATTGTTACTTAATTGCTTTTAACTTGTTAAGGTAATGACTTGCTCACATTTGTTACGGTTTCAAATATAAGTTAGCTTTTAGAACAAAGGACTGAGCCTGATTAGGGAGGGGACTATGAATTTCATTTGCTTTACGCCTGTGGGACACAGCTTAAAGTACAGATGCGTGTAAGACAAATGGGGTGTGGGGAAGCAGCCCTCCTCACTCTCTTACATTTAAGTTAGCGTCTTTGAATACAGGGCGCTTTAATTCAGTTAGCATCTATTTGCTTAAGAATGAAGAAAATAAAGGAGTAGCAGTCTAATAAGTAATGTTTTAGCCCTAATTATTACCACTCCAAATTTCTAAGCGATGGGAGAGATTTTCTATTCTATTGCATCCAGACCCAAATTCTTAGGAGTCAGATTTTAAAGGGGACGCTCACAAGTTACTGAATTTTCCTGAAACTGAAACACGACTGTGGGGTCGCTCATTTGCACGAGAGTCCAGAAGTACTAGACAGCGGCCAGCCTCCAGCAGGTAGCGTCTCCTCTGTTCTGATGAGAACACCCCTTGGGGTGACTGGTATTAAGGCACAGCCCTTTCTAGCTGACTGCACTTCACAAAGCAGCCGCATCCAGGATTTGGGTGGGTGGGGGAGCCTGGTGTTCTGTACTGGTTGTGGAACTGGCTGCCTTCCCACACCCTTGTCAGGGCGGGATTCGGGATCCACCCCTGGGTCTTACATTGTCACTAGGTCCCAGCTTTACCAGGGAGCCAAATTCCCTGGTAAGAGAAAAAAACGTAGTCTCTGTAGAGGTCACAGCCTGGTTCTCTGCAGGCCTCGTGAATCCGGCTCCCCTGAGCGAGTCAGGTGAGTGCGCTTGGCTGCATCCAGAGCTCTGGTTAATAACACCCCCTTTTGACAAAGCAGGACAGTACCTCAGCCCAAGTCTCCATGCCATTTTATAGAGAATTATGAGGGGCACTGAGGCTTGGTGAACCTGTCCCAGGACTTCCAGCAAGCAGACTGAAATTACAATAAGATATAAAGTCACTTGTACCCACTTGGTACCGGTAGAGAAGCTGTACCCTGGACTGGGAAAAAGTGATAGACCAATTTTTTTTTTTTTTTTTGGTTTTTCGAGACAGGGTTTCTCTGTAGCTTTGGAGGCTGTCCTGGAACTCACTTTGTAGACCAGGCTGGCCTCGAACTCACAGAGATCCGCCTGCCTCTGCCTCCTGAGTCCTGGGATTAAAGGCATGCACCACCAACGCCCGGTGTGATAGACCAATCTTAGAAAAAAGTTTTTTCTTTTGTCCTTGAGGATGGAACCTGGCAACTGGCGTACCTGGTGACAAACCGGTCCTATCACTGTGCCGCTTGACAGCCCCTAGCCTTGATGCTTCTGGGCCTCAGTGCGTTTCCTCCCTGGCCACTTGTCCACACTGCCAGGACCTGGGCCCGTACTACTATCCAGGCTTCCCACACAGCCTTGCAGTCAGAGGCCCTTGGCTGAAACTCTCTGCCCTGCCTGTTCTTTGGAGCTTAAAAGATGCACACACCTTAAGCATGGTGCTTAGCTGGTTTGCTTTTCTAGTCCCATTTAATTACCAAAGTGTGGGTCCTTCAGTGCTTCCGTCCCCGAGAGCCCATCTTTCTCTAAGATGTTCTTGAGAGCCAGGTGTGGGGGCTCATGCTTGTCATCCCAGCACTTGGGGGGGACCTCAGAAAAATCGAGGCCAGCCTGGTTTCTGTAGTGAGACCGTGCCCTGAAAAGTCAAAAGGAGAAAGAAAACGGCATGGGAAGGTTGAGGGCACGTACGTTTGTGGGGAGATGAGAGGTATTGCACTACCCCAGTGTAGTCAGGACGGGACACCTGCAGGAAGCAGCCTCTCTGGTCAGAATGCACTTCGCCATCCATCACAAGGTGCATTGTGCCCAGCCACAGTCATCTTCAGCCAGACGCGATTGCCTGCAGCGTGAATGTCCCCGTTTAGGGACTGCTTAAAATTACAGATGGCTAGCCGGGCATTGGTGGCCCACGCCTTTAATCCCAGCACTCGGGAGGCAGAGGCAGGCGGATCTCTGTGAGTTCGAGGCCGGGCTGGACCGATAGCCTACAAAACAATACAGAGAAACCCTGTCTCGAAAACCAAAAAAAAAAAAAAAAAAAGAAAGAAAGAAACAGAAGATTGTAGAGAGAAGCCTTTTCCTTGCCAGCCTCTTGGTTTTTCCCCACCAGTTGCCTGGGCTCTGCCACGTTGTAATCCCCAAATAATTATGAAGCTGTTGGCCTTGCTTGTTTCTTACTGGCTAGCTCTGACTTAAGTATTTATCCCATAATTGTTAATCTAAGTATTTCTCTTACCAGAGAAAGGGTCCGGGCTTCTTACCCCTATGGCGGCTACATCGTGACTCCCTGTGTTTCTCTTTCCCAGAGTCCTCCTGGACTCCTAGTCCCACCTATCTTGCTTCCCTATTGGCCAACAGTGCTTTATTGACATATACACAGGACTTCCCCCATCAGACGATGGAGACCAGAGCATTGAACCCGTCTTAAAAGTTGATCTCTGGGGCCGAACCCAGCTCTTTTAATTCATGCTCAGAAATTTGCCTCTATTTGCAGTCTTTAAGATCAACCCCAAGCTAAGAACTTAGTGCTGGCAGAACTCTGGAGATCTCTCTGCCATCCCTGTGTCTCGTTCATTTCACCTGGGCTCCCTTATCTGTCCTGTTTCCCTGCCCTCCTGCTTCAATCTCCCAGGAAAGTCCCATGCCTGGGGAAAGATTCTCATGTATGCAAGTAACACAGTGTAAAGTGTGAGGTGATAAGACTTGTTATTCTAAGTAAGGAGGAGGGCCACACGTGGTCTTTAGGTAGCGACATCTGTGACAGTGTGGCTAACGCCCACGCCTTTACATCTTTATCATTGACATTATTCGTTATTATTGCCTTATACTCATTGTACATGATGCTGGGTTTCACAATGACAATTTTTAAATTTTTAAAAAATTTTTTGGTTTTACGAGACAGGGTTTCTCTGTATTGTTTTGTAGGCTATCGGTCCAGCCCGGCCTCGAACTCACAGAGATCCGCCTGCCTCTGCCTCCCGAGTGCTGGGATTAAAGGCGTGTGCCACCAACGCCCGGCCACAATGACAATTTTTTTCCCAGACATAGAATGCATATTCCGTTCCTTTTGTCTTCCCTATAGTCTCCCCTCCCACTAGTCTCCTTTCCCTCTGTCCCTTCTGCTTTCCTGTCTCGTGTGTGTGTGTGTGTGTGTGTGTGTGTGTGTGTGTGTGTGTGTGTGTGTGTATGTGTATGTGTGTGTGTATATGTGTGTGTTTACCTGGACATACACACAAACATGTGTATATACATACAAAAACATACACACTCAGGTGGTTTACACAGCTACCTAAAATCTAGGACCTAGGCTCAGTGGGCAAAGTGACTGCTGTGCAATTATGAGAATCTGAACTCTGATCCCCAAAACTCACCTACAAAGTTTGGTACACACTAGGGACTGAGACAGGGGACTCTCAGAGCTTGTTGGTAAGCCAGTCTAGCTAAATAGGTGAGAAACCCCCGCCTCAGCAAGAGACCCTGACTCAAAAACTTTGGGGGGGGGGAGACACTGGACATGAACCTCTGGTCTCCACACACACTCAAGAGCAAGCATGCTTGCACATACACCATGCTTCCCCCCACTACACACACACACACACACACACACACACACACACACACACACACACACACACACACACGGATTTAAGGTCTGACCTCTCACCGTACCTGGACTACTGTGGATAAACATTCTAGGAAGCAGAACCTGTGACACACACAAGTGTCAACCCTGAGGTTCTAGTACTGTCAGCAGTCGCTACAAACGGCTTAACTTGTATCTTTAAAACTTCAAGATGGTGGCCAGGTGGTGGCGGCACACACCTTTAATCCCAGCACTTGAGAAGCAGAGGCAGGTGGATCTCTGAGTTCGAAGCCAGCCTGGTCTACAGAACGAGTTCCGGGACAGGCGCCAAAGATACACAAGAGAAAACCTGTCTCTAAAACAAAACAACAACAAATCTTCCATGGTACAGTCTGTGACTCCTTGACTACATCTGTGTTTCCATGTTTGTCTTTGCAGTGTGAGCCTTGGGGGAACCAACAAACTTTAGGATCAAAGGGAGCCTTTGGATTCCAGCACCCTGTCAGGTAATATGCTGCTTCATGGTAAAAAGCCTGCGATGTCTAGATGTTAACACACATTAGCATTTCCAACAAACTGGATGATTAAATTTGTTATTTATCTAGTATCATTTTGTTTCCTTACCAAAGAGTCTCAAGGATATTTTGTTATATTTCTAGAATCTGTTCATAATTTCATGCATTCAGTGTTTCATTACAAGCTGGGACTGGCTAGGCAGTGGTGGTGCACACCTTTAATGCCAGCACTCGGGAGGCAGTCAGGCAGATGTGAGTTTGAGGTCAGCCTGGTCTACAGAGTGAGTTCCAGGACAGCCAGGGCTACACCGAGAAACCCTGTCTCTAAAGACCAAAAAAAAAAAAAAAAAAAGAAAAAAAGAAAAAAAAAGAAAAGAAAAGAAAAAAGAAGGAAGGAAAGGAAAACAAAGCTGTGTGCTCGCTTCGGCAGCACAAATACTAACCCTGGAACGATACAGAGAAGATTAGCATGGCCCCTGTGCAACACTGACAGGCAAATTCGTGAAGCGTTCCACATTTAAAAAAGAAAAGAAAAACAAAGCTGGGATTGACCATATGACAAATCCTACTTGCTCTTCAAACTCACTGGCGAATACGTCCACATAGTCGCCTGACTTTAAACGTGGACCAGCCTAAGCCTTGCTTTTATTTCTGTTTTCGATGCATTGATGCATTTTGCATGTTTCCCTGTCTACTGCAGGGCTCTGACCACACTGGCACACAGGCTGGGCAGGACTGGGTGTGGGGATGGACCCCAGCATGGCAGGGTATTTGGCAGTGCTTCCGGCTCCTGCCCAGAAACACCAGGAGCTGGGGAAGCACCGACCCACTGGGGTCTTAGGAAGCTATAACCAGTGTATGCTCTCTTCCTGTCCTCTAACCGGGAAAGGGGACACTAACTAAAGCCAGCAGCAATCAGTTGACACAACTGACACCGATTCCTCAGAAGACCATGGGATAAGGAGGAGCAAATGAATTATTAAGTGAAAAACATTAAGAGATTATTGGGGACATTCAAAAATTATTTTTAAAAACTTTTTATAATAACTAGAATCTCCTGTTTTAGAAAACTTGAAACTTGGGGGCTCCAATTTTTTTGGGGGGGTTTTCGAGACAGGGTTTCTCTGTAGCTTTGGAGGCTGTCCTGGAACTAGCTCTTGTAAACCAGGCTGGCCTCGAATTTACAGAGATCCGCCTGCCTCTGCCTCCCGAGTGCTGGGATTAAAGGCGTGTGCCACCAATGCCTGGCCCGGCTCCAATTTTTATATTTAACTTTTTCCCTTCCTGCCTCTCCCCCTTTCCTCCCTCCCTCCCTCCCTCCCTCCCTCCCTCCCTCCCTCCCTCCCTCCCTCCCTCCCTCCCTCCCTCCCTCCCTCCCTCTTTCCTCCTCTCTGTCTTTCCCCAAGAGAGAGAGAGGGAGGGAGGAACCCATCTCTACTTCATGTCTGGAACAGTCAGTTACTCCTCCAGGCCAGAAGGACGTATGGGGGAGGGGGGGACGGACACATTTCCCCTCCCGGAGGGCTCAGGTCTTCCATCTGACGGAAAGTGGGCCTTTTAAGATTAGAGCCCAGTTGGGGCTGGAGAGATGGCTCAGTGTTTAAGAGCACTGACTGTTCTTCCAGAGGTCCTGAGTTCAATTCCCGGCAACCACATGGTGGCTCACAACCACCTTGAATGAGATCTGGTGCTCTCTGCTGGCATGCAGGCAAAAGACTATATACACAATAAATAAATAAAAAAATTAGAGCCCAGTTAATGTTGACGTCTCTACTGTGGGTCTAAGTTGATCAGTGTGGGTTTATTAACTAGTGCCTCAGCAGGTGTCCCGGTCCATGCTCTGGTAACTTAAAAAAAAGCACCGTGTACAGGGAAAGCAAGAGTGGGACAGAAATGGCGGCATTAAGTGCTTCTGCCAGGAGCTTTTTAAGGTGGTACTAACGGCTCCTTTGTTTCTTTGATATTAGACTCTACTTACCCCTTTCAAAGCGTCAAGAATACCTGCAGAGCTCTGGGGAGAAAGTGCTGGCCAGCTTCCCAGTGCAAGCCACCATTCATTTCTACAACGATGAATCGGAGTCGGGGTCTGAGGAGGAGGAAGAGGGAGCCCAGGCCAGTCATCCTCAGTGCCGGGAGCAGGAGGACAGTGCCGTGGCCCTGGAAGACAGGACAGAGTAGAGCTGGCAAGCCTATAGGGGGGAAGGGATGGCCTCAGGGTGACTCTGCAGGGGACAGTGAGTGCTCCAGCAAATGAAGTGAGTCTCCCATGCTGGTCCCCCTGTTCCCACCCACGCTGGCCCGTCACCCCTCCTCTCCTGGGAACAGCCATGCCAGGACTCAGACTCTTGTCCAGTTTCCTCTGATGGGAGGTCAGAGGCAGTGACTCTGCCCAGCACCTGCAGAAGCCGGGGACCTCACTTTTTTGATTTCCTGCTCTCGTGTGTGTGTGTGTGTGTGTGTGTGTGTGTGTGTGTGTGTGTGTGTGTGTGTTCCTATGTATGTGTTCCTGTGTCTGTATGTCCGTCCATCTGGGACTTCTCCCAGCACCTACAAAAACCAGGGACTTTGCTTTTACTTTTGATTTCCTGGTTTTGTGTGTGTGTGTGCACCTGCGTGTATGTGTGTGTCTGTCTATATGTGTGTTCCTGTGTATGTGTGCTTGTCTGTCTGTGATCCATGCCTTTGGGGAAGGGTGCCTGATGGAGGTCCCTGTCAACACAAACTGTTCTCAGGAAGAAGGGGTTCAGAGCTCACTCAGCTCTCACCCCAAAAGTCACTGCTTCATCAGCACACCCTCCTTTGCCCAGAGACCCATTACTAATAATTAGATATAAACTCCCATTTTAATGGTTCATTTGAGTGCTCAGTAGCTGTCTGAAAAAATATTCTTTTACTTGTGAAAAAAATGCAATGCTGAATATTCCCACTGGAATAAGAAGCAAGAAGACGTGATCCTTTGAGGGATAAAAGAGACGTTTCCCAGAACTGGGTAAGAGCTGTGTGTGTAAGTGTTTAAGTTGTAAAGGGTTAATTTTTCTGACTTGGTGACCAGTATGATCTTGTTGTTTGCATGGAATGACACTATTTTTAATTAAAGTATCTTGTGTAAAATTACTTTGAGTTTTATCATTTGACAACCCAAGGACTGTGCTCCTCAAAGTTTCCCTGAATTATCTTACACTGTCTTCCTGTATATACCACTTTGTATGAATTTTGACTTGGAATAAATATTTCAAAAGATCATTTGATAATCATCTTTTTGGGTAAGATGTTCTTATAGCAAATCAGCTCCTGTTCTAAAGATTTTAAAGGTTTTTTTTAAATACATATTTAGCTCACATTATTTTCACAAATGCAAGAAGAGGTCAGAACAATGGCTCAGTAGGTTAAAAAAAAAAAGCACTTACTGCCAAGCCAGACACCTGAGTTTGAGCCTCCAGAACTGGAGTGGTAGAGAGAACCAGGTAGGGGGCTGGAGAGATGGCTCAGCAGTTAAGAGCGCTGGCTGTTCTTCCAGAGGACCCAGATTCAATTGTCAGCACCCCCACGGCAGCTCACAACTGTCTGTAACTCCAAGATCAGACAAACATGTAAGCAAAACACCAATGCACAGCCGGGCGTTGGTGGCGCACGCCTTTAATCCCAGCACTTGGGAGGCAGAGGCAGGTGGATCTCTGTGAGTTCGAGGCCAGCCTGGTCTACAGAGCGAGTTCCAGGACAGCCTCCAAAGCCATAGAGAAACCCTGTCTCGAAAAACCAAAAAACAAAAAAACAAAAACAAAAAAAAAACAAAACACCAATGCACATAAAATAAAAATGAATTTTTTTAAAAAGAGACAACTAATTCCTGCTAGATGTCCTCTGACCTCGAGGCATATACAGTGACATGCGCACCCGTACCACACACATACACAGGATGAATGAGTGAATGAATGAATGATAACAAAAAGCATAACAAGTCCTGACTCCCAGGCCTGTCATCCCAGATACTTAGAGGTTGAGGCAGGAGGGGCACAAGCTCAAAAGCCTGCTATGGTTACAGCGTGGGGCTAAGGCAAGCTGGGTACTCAGTGACACTTTCTCAAAAGAACAAAAATACAGGAAGAGTTAGGGATACAGCTCATTGGTACAGTGCTGGCTAGGCATGCAAGAGGCCCTGGGTTCATTAATAGTGACATGCACATACACACACACATGCACGCACGCACACACACACGCACATATGCACAAAAAACAAAATAGGCTGGAGAGATGGCTCAGCGATTAAGAGCACTGCCTGCTCATTCAAAGGTCCTGAGTTCAATTCCCAGCAACCACATGGTGGCTCACAACCATCTGAAATGAGATCTTGCACCCTCTTCTGGCCTGCAGGCATACATACAGACAGAACATTGAATACATAATAAATCTTTAAAAAACAAAATAACTACACCTTCACCAAATGCCACATTAAAAGAACTGCAAACAATACACGAACTGTAACAAACCTAGCAGCCCAGACAGCTACAAAGTAAAAGGCATTCTTAGTGTCCTCCCTTCCTGCCTCCCGGTAACAAACATCAAATGTTATTTCAGGCAGGGCCTCACTAAACATCTCTGGCTGGTCTGGATGTCTCCATGTAGACCAGGCCAACCCCAGACTCGCAGAGACCAGCACCTCTTCCTCAAGGGCTGGGGTTAAAGTGCAGTTCTACTTCCCCACCGAATGGCTTTGTTTCTGTTTCCTAGCTTTGTTCAAACTGCTCCATCCTTTAAAAAAATAGATGTCTCCCTCCCTTCTCTCTCTCTTTCAGGGCTGTGGTTCAATGCTAGGGCCTCTAGACAAGTGCGCTACTAATGAGCTCAGAGTTTCAGAGTAAAATTGGCCATTCAGGGTTTTGTGGTTTTGTTTTTTCTTTCTTTCTTTCTTTCTTTCTTTCTTTCTTTCTTTTTTGTTTTTTTTTTCCAGACAGGGTTTCTCTGTATTGTTTTGGAGGCTGTCCTGGAACTCCTTCGGTAGACCAGGCTGGCCTCGAACTCACAGAGATCCACCAGTCTCTGCTTCCCGAGTCCTGGGATTAAAGGAGTGTGCCACCAACTCCCAGCTTCTATTTATTTTTTAAGTACATTTTTTTTCCCTCATGTTCTGTGGGTGAGCTCAGCACCCTGGCTTCACTGGTGACTGTTGCTAAATGTAATCCCTAGTCTGAAAACTATGTACTTCTTATTTCTTTTTCTTAGTTTTATTTGTGTGTGTCTGCATGTGTGCCTGTGTATGCATGGGTGTGCGCACATGCACGTTCAAGTACACTCATGTCCCAGCACTGAAGCAGAGGTGAGAGGATAATCTTGGCTGCCAGCCTTCACCTGTCAGCTTGTCTCTTGTTTACTGAACACAGCTGTGCCAAGGAGCTTCTGAGGCTCTGTCCCCGCCACCTGTCTTTGCTGCAAGTACTGGGTTTCAGACACACTACAGAACGTGGCTGTATGTGGGTTCTGGGGATCCAAACTGGATACCCACACTTTCATGGCACGTTCCATACACCAAAAAGGATTTTGTCACTTACTAGCAGGTACAAACTGCACATTGGGGTTCAGTGTGGCGTTACCATTTGTCCTAGGGTTTCTATTGCTGTGAAGAGACACCATGACCATGGCAACTCTTATAAAGAAAACGTTTGAGTTCGAGACCAGCCTGGAGACTACCAAGTGAGTTCCAGGACAGCCTCCAAAGCCACAGGGAAACCCTGTCTTGAAAAAACCAAAAAAAAAAAAAAAAAAAAAAAAAAAAGAAAACGTTTGCCAGGCGTTGGTGGCGCACGCCTTTAATCCCAGCACTCGGGAGGCAGAGGCAGGTGGATCTCTGTGAGTTCGAGGCCAGGCTGGTCTACCAAAGGAGTTACAGGAAAGACTCCAAAACAATACAGAGAAACCTGTCTCATAAAAAACAAAACAAAACAAAAAAAACCCAAAAACAAAAAAACAAAACCGTTTAGTTGGGGTGGCTTACAGTTTCAGGGGTTCAGTCCATTATGATCATGACAGGGAGCATGGCAGCTTACAGACAGACGTGGCACTGGAGCTGAGAGTCCCACATCTTGCAGTCAATAGGAAGTCACCTGACTGTCACACTGAGCGAAGCTTGAGAAAAAGAGATCTCAAAGCCTGCCCCCACAGGGACACACTTCCTCCAACAAGGACAGGCCTCCTAATAGTGCCGCTCCCTTTGGGGGCCATTTTCTTTCCACAGCATCACACGTAATAATCTGACCCAGCCTCTCTAACCACCATCCCTTCCCAACATCCTACATTCAGGTGGACATAAAGTTATACACGTACACACACACACACACACACACACACACACACACACACACACACACACACACACGGGTGTCATGTGTACACATGTGCACATATGTGGGTGGAGAGGTCAGGGACTTCCAGGAGTCATTTCCTCTTTCTACCGCGTGGGTCCTGGGGACCAGACTCGAGCTGTGAGGTCGGGTGGCAAGCATCTTTATCTGCTGACCCATCCTGGTCACTCTGTCCTTCTGTGGTGTACAGAGTATGTCCCTACTGCGTGCACTGTCTGCCCCTTAGTCACACAGTATGTCCCCACTGCATGCACTGTCTGCTCCGTAGTCACACAGTATGTCCCCAATGCGTGCACTGTCTGCCTCGTAGTCACACAGTATGTCCCCACTGCGTGCACTGTCTGCCCCTTAGTCACTCAGCAGTCATCGTGTGGATAGCTGGGGAACAGCCGTGCTTTTCGGTGGGACTCATGATCTCAAGGACGAGGATGGACGACTGTACGTTTACACGATGAGATACTACGAATCTGTGAAACAAGAGATGAGGAAACGTGAACGGATGCTGGAAACTTGCTGAGAGAACCTGTGGAGACTACACAGGATGGCTCTTTCTTTTCCCCCTTTGGTTTTTCGAGACAGGGTTTCTCTGTGGCTTTGGAGGCTGTCCTGGAACTCTCTCAGTAGACCAGGCTGGTCTCGAACTCACAGAGATCCGCCTGCCTCTACCTCCTGAGTGCTGGGATTAAAGGCGTGCGCCACCACCGCCCGGCTAGGATGGTCTTTTTACACATATACTTTCTTCCAGAGAGAGAGGGAGGAAGACCAGGAGAGGGTACTTGTGGTGATGGGAGTGGAACAGTGGCTGCCAAGTGCTGCTCCTGGGACACGGTTACCCATAAACAGGCACAAGGACACTATGGACTGGGGGACATGTCCTAGAACTGGAATATGGTGACAGATAAGTATTTGCATTTCATGAACCAATAGGCAGATATATAATGTATGGATTACAGTCTGAAATCATTTAATACAACCTAGATTCTTCTATTTAAACATTTTTTTCTTTAGACACTGAGCTATTCACTACAGATTAGTCCTCCACCACACGTCATGACAGAATTTAAACGTTTAAAAGTGACTCTAAGGAGAAAGTTCTAAGTCAAGCGAGCATTCCATTCTTAGGCCTTTCTTAGTGTGACTCTGGGGTTTATTCATCAAGGTGCTGTCTTCTGAAGCCTCTCAGTGACCTCTGAGCCGTCCATCACGGAAAGGTGAAAAGGTCTCAGGTGTAATTTAAGGATAATGAGTTCAGTTCCAAAATAAAACGTGAAGAGAGGAGCAACCGCCCAGTTCCGGGTGAACCTGAGGGTAGGTTTGTGTTCAAGGACATAAGTTACTTTAGCTCCTTAAACACCATGGTAGGGCCAATACACAGAATTAAGATAGGTATGAGACATAGGGTCTCTTGTATCAACAGTGCAAAATGACCGCAATCTCCACTGCCCCTGGGGCCTCCCTGGATGGGACAACACCTGCAAATTCAATCATCCCCGAGCAGGGTTTTGTTTTGTCTTAATAAAATGCCTCCTTGAAATCCTTAGTCACCACACACATTGTTAAAAATAGATACTTTTAAAGATGCTTATCTTAAAGTACACTTTTCAGCAACAAATTAGCAGACGTGGGGAAGTGAAGTCCTGAGTGCCACCCGATAGCCTTCAAATCTAACACATCTTCCAAGACGCCAGCCACGGGCGGTGGTGGCGCAGACCTTTAATCCAAGACGCCAGCTAGCTGCCTCTTCGGGTCTCCTCATTCCAGATAGCTACTCTTCTGACTTCTGATACTGTAAATTTTCCCGATTTTAATCACATGTAAACACCAGTCATGCTTGCTCACTTGTATATGGATTCTTTCACTTGACGCAATGTGTTGAGCACCCATCTC